GGCTTTTCGCGGGTTTTCCGCGAAACCAGTCGTTTGCTCAATGTATGTGCGCTACCTGTGGAAGCCGTCCGAGTGGATGCTCATTGTAGGCAAATTTTTTTATATGACAATTTACAGCCGATGAAATTTCAATTCTGTACAAACTATTCTGAAAAAATGAATCATTTTCCCGAATTAATCAGTACCAAAAAGATAAAAATATTTTCAAATTTCTCGAATAAAATTCCAAACAGGAAAGAAAAATTAAAAAATTTTGGCGAAATAGAAATCAAAAAATGTGAACCGTCTTCAAATTTGATTCGGAAATCGCCATTTTCCATCAGCCTAGCAGTTGATTCACATGATGGTTTGAAAATGATTTTTACAGCGCGACCTCCAAGTACGCTGATCTCTTCCAGAATTTTTCTATACAAAGCCGATGCAATTTCGTCCACTTTGTCATTAATGTGCTGCAGCTCCAACGCACTAGAAACAGAAAATTTAAAGAGCATGTATCTGCATCTATTCCCGAAAAGAAGTAGGTCCTTTCATCGCACAGCTCTTTACCCTAATCAAAAGTGCAACAAAATAACCTGGAATAGGTACGCCGAGTTGCTGGATCAACGGGAATTGGTGGCATATCTTTGAGCGGTATCGGAGATTTTGTTGCTGGCTGATAAACCGAAAACATCTGCTCGTCATTTGTCGCTCTCTCTACAACACCAATCCATTTCACGACCGTTTCGTCGCTTATATTGCGATTTCTACCGGCCGACTGGCTACGATTTCGAATTGTTGCTTCATAAACAATCGTTCCATTTTTGTTGAATAAAAACTAAAATAACTTTTTTTTTTCGAAATCTTATGGCGACTAAGACCTCTTTATGTTCATCGATAAGCATAGTGACCTAGAAACAGTTCTAAAAATTGCTTGTGCTATCAGCAGAGCTGTTAGTGACTCTCCCTCTTTCTGAGTTAATTTTCGACGAAAAAGTTTTAAAATTAAAGAAATTATCACAAAAAAAGAAAATTCGATATTTTGAGGATATGCCTTTCAGTGAACAAACGA